AAGGAGGGCTACAAAAATGATCTGAGGGCTGGAGCACCTCTCCTGTGAGGACAGGCTGAGAGAGCTGAGCGTGTTCAGCCTGGAGAAGAGAAGGCTGTGGGGAGACCTGATTGCAGCCTTTCAGTACTTAAAGGGAGCCTATAGGAAAGATGGGGACAATCTTTTTAGTAGAGACAGCAGTGACAGGACGAGGGGTAATGGTTTTAAACTAAAACAGGGTAGGTTTAGGCTGGATATAAGGAAGAAATTCTTTACAATGAGGGTGGTGAAACACTGGAACGGGTTGCTCAGAGAGGTAGTGAAGGCCCCATCCCTGGAAACATTCAAGACCAGGTTGGACAGAGCTCTGAGGAACCTGATCTAGTTAGCGGTGTCCCTGCTCGCTGCGGGGGGGTTGGACTAGATGACCTCTAGGGGTCCCTTCCGACCCAAAACTTTCTATGATTCTATGATTCTATAATGTTTCCCACCATAAAAGTCATACCAAACCAATTACTCTGGTTCAGTTTCTTTACTTTTCCCAACGGTCAGAGGTAACCTTGCTGGAGATTCACATTCAGTCCATAATGCAACTGCAGCCTGTGGATAAGTGCAGCTGCTGCCCTTGAGAAAAGGAAACCATCCATTTTATTGTCCAGCTATTTATTATTTAAATAAATGAACTGTAGTTTGATGCTGGAGGAATAGAAATCTCTTGCATACATGAAGGATTAAGTTGTTTAAAGAGATTGCCCTCAATTTTAGGCCTTGTGATAAGAGTGGAAAGGATAGGAGAAGAACTGATAAAACTACTCAGCCAGCAATGTCAAGAAACAACTTGCTCAGGCAAAAAAAATAGTCTTGATTTTCAACTAAGTGTTGTGCCTCACCCAGAAAACATCTCTCAGACATTTTTCTTAGCACCCAGAGAGTAAATCAACCTTCAGTCAGGGCTTGCATAGTTATATGTTGCCAGGTCATCTGAACCAACTGAGCACGCTGCTTGCAGAGGGTGCAGAATAGAGCAGGAAGGATTGAGTCCTGTTTATGTTTCTTAGGGGTTTACAAGGCAGGAGGGAAGGCCAAACTTTCTGTCAATGTGCAGTTGCAGCACCTGGGAAAACAGTCCTTTTCCTGGTCCTGCCCTTGCCCAGCCCAGGTTCTGACCCTCAGCTGAGTCACTTGTCTGCCCCAGTTCGCCACCTCCCTCCCTTCCCAGAATTTAGAGGGTTGTTTTTGAGGCAGTCTGTCAGTGACTCGAATGGAGAGTGCAGTTTTGCACTTGCTATTGCAAGTGCCATGCCAGGCACCCATCAAGCAGCAGCAAGCTCCACTGGTTAGTGCTGCATCATGTCTGCAGAGGCTTGCTACCCTGCCCTTTACTGTGCCTGTCCCAATCATGGCCTCTCCCAGTTGTGCCTTCTCTAAACTATTCATCTCCTCCCACCTCCAGCACTGCATGCAAAAACTCCAGAAAGAGGATATATCTCCAGATAAATCCAGAGGAGAATCACTCAGCGGTTGATTGTGGACTTCTTCCAGAATATGTACAGAGAAGAAACTGAGAGGAGGAATCATCCCTTCCACCTATAAGCTGCCAGACATCAGGTCTCAGCCACCAGAGGATGAGAAATTCCCCTCTTGGCTCCAACAGGAAACTCCTAAATGGTGTACTCCAGCAAGGAGACATCATTTCCACATGGGCCAAATATGCTATAACACAGGTAAACGGCCCCCATTCGTGCTAAAGACTTCTGACACCTCTCTTAATTTCAGGGCTGAATGTGTTTAACTTCTCCAGCAGCTGGAAGAGGCTGTGTCTCACCCAGTGTCCCTGGGGACTCCCATGGCTCTGGTACTGGCTAACATGCTTTGGGCATTTCTGTACAGCTAAACTCCCAGCATCCAGAAAGGGCCATTGTAGCTAAATTGCTTGTTGAGAAAGGCGACTGGATGTGGACATGCCTGACTGCCTGTGAATTGTTTCAGAAAATGAGCACAGGGCAGCAGTGTGTCAAAGACCTTCTTACAGTGTGAGAAAATGAGTCCCTGGACTGGAGAGGTCATGGAGCTGGTCATCCATGCAGAAAACAGGCTGGCTGGGAGACCTACAGCTGGAAGAGGCCGCTTTTCACTGACTAAGACTCTGGAGGTTTGAAAAAGCCAGACTAAATCACCCTACATGTCCCATATCCTCTCTCCACCAATAACCAGTCTCGACTTGTATGAGGAACGTAGCTCATTCTGGATTTTCCTTTGGGGAACCCCCTTCCTTGCTTCCTACAATCAGCAGCTCGTTAATGCCTTACATCTCAAGGATTTGCGTACTTTTCTCTTTCACAATAGCAGTGTCATTATCTTCTGACATCTCACATACTTCATCCAAAATTTGATGTTGGCCCTTGGCCATGGCTATGGGTCCCCCAGATGACTCATCTCCACCACGTAAATACTTCTTTGTTATTTCAGCCCGTGACTCTGCACATCCTTTGCCTCTCCAATAATTTGTTAGATATGAGAGAGGAAAATGGGGCTCTTGGTCAATCTCCCTCCCCTTTTAGTCATCCACCAACTGCTGTCCTGACTTCAGAGCTCCTTGACTTCATGGGTCCAGCCTGTCTTGTTGCTCCCACCCAGGGCTCTCGCAGTCCTGTCTGTGCACTCTGCTGATACCAGCCTTCTCTTTTTTTGTTGTGTATTGGGAGGAGGCACATGTGACACAGTCATCTTCTCCAGAAAGTTTTCTAACTTGTTTTCCAGATCTCTCCATGTATGTGTCGTTTGGAGGTCTTATTCGAGAGCTACTTTCAGGCAGCTTTGTACAGTACTTTTTCTCTGCTGCCTTTGCCAAACACTGTACAGGAACTCCCCCAGTAAGATGGGAACACACAAGTTTATATTCATAGAACAAGCTATCTGGAGAAGGAAATCTATGTAACTTGGAGACTACAACTACATAGAGGTGCTATAACAGTATATAAAATATGTTAAAATTATCGAGTCGGCATTATGCAGAGACACATCATTGGTATCAGCAACTGACAGGACTTGAAATGGTTTTCCATGTATTTGAAGCTCACATGGTTGTCATCTTCATTACACCAAGAAAGGTGGGAAAAACATGATGATTATTTCAGTGGAGAGGCTGCACTAAGCCACTCCTTCATCATATGTGGACCAAATCTTCTACATGTTATGAATGGAGAAGCCACTGTTCTACATTTTCTGAAGAGAAAAGCCACTGTGGCTTCAGCAGTGAGTCCCAGGAAGTAGGAAATATTAATGGATGAAGCAGGGAAATTCCTAATATAAGAAACAGAAAATAGGGTTCTGTAGGTATCCTCATGACCTCAACAAGTATTCAGGAAACACCAGTCTCACCCTACTTGTCACCACTCCTAGCCCTGTCCTGAGAGCACCTCAGGAGGAAAGGAGTCAGCCCCATGCCTTTCCCTAGCTCCCCTGCTCTTGTTTTTCTTCATCTTATCCCTACATTTGCCTCTTCCTGATCTCTCACTGATGTATCTCACCTGGGGTGGAAGTGGGTGTGTGCCTGCAGGTGTGTGTTCACCTCCACCATCAAGATGTCCAGAGGGGAAAATGTGAGCTCTAGTGTTTACTTTCCCCACTCTCCCTGGTCTTCTAGGCAACCCCACAGCACCTTTAAGATAAATATCTCTTCAGACTTGTGACAGCACCTGTGTCCCAGGCTGTGGCATGGGGAATGGATCAAAGAGGAACTTGGAAAAGGAAGCTAGAGAACCTGCCTGTGGGAGATGGGAACCTTCAAGGGATGCTACTCTGGCCAGGCTGGAGACTGGTAATCCCAGATTTGGTTTGGTTGACCAGGACACCATGGGGACATACTTTCCCCTTCACTCCAATTGTTATTGCCCACCATGGTGCTCCGGATACCTGAATGTGCAATCCTGCCCACCATCCAAAGGATTCTACAGCTATGGCATGGCGTTTGAATGGCTGTAAGCGCACATAGCAGGGGAGGTGAGCATTACTTTTGTCTTGTGTGGCAGCTAACAAAGTGCAGGGTCCCAGGGTCTTGGTCACGAGCAAGTTTCCCTCCAGGTGTGATTACTCTTCACAGACTTTCTTATGGTATGTGCCCTCTAGAATTTGTCACAAGCCAGAACCCCTCAAGCTTTGGAGGTACAGATGCCACTTCTATTCTGCTCTGCCATGGCACTTCTCAGCACAAATCATCATTACACAACAATGACCAAGACTGAACCTTGGCCAGACATGCAATACAACCACCTGCAGTTGCTGCTGGGTGCAGAAATACATGGCTAAGTGATATACAGGTAAAAAACTCTCACTTGATTCAGAAATCAGTATATTTTAGGTGGTATGCAGATGGCACGCACAAGTGTTTTTTTATTGGTAGCACTACAGCAATACAATAACAGCAATGAAGAAGCTATCATACAGCAAAGATCTGCCATCAGCTCCAAGGATGCCGTGGGCCCAACACACCACCTTGCACTCAGTTACAATTCCTGTCGTAAAAGATGTGCTCCAGGACTTCCTGTGGTCGCGGGACTCCTCTTGGCTCCTCACAGTCTGTTGTTCAGAAATGGCCAGAGCACACTGGCTGCTATCCCTGCTGCCATCCCGTAGCTGTACCTCACACTGCCTGCTGCGTTGGCATTGCAGAGGTCACTGCTGCAGCAGGAGATATTCCTGTTGCCCACGCCGAAGTCCTGATAGAGTGATTGGCATGATGAGTCACAACCCTTGCTGATGATGTTGAAGAGCCCTACAACCCCTGGAAGGAAAGCGGGACCGTTACTACAAGGACTCAATGCAAAGCCAGACCTCGTGGAATGGAATAATGAGAAGCTATTCTTATATCTGAGCTCACTTCTTGAAAAAACAACAACAAAAAAAGAGTGTTTCCAAACAGCTGCATGTTCTACTGTAGCAGGTTTTATTTTTTTGGGGTGTCAGTTTGTCAGCAGGGAGGGGAAGGTTTCAATCCTCAAGCATTCTCTTTAAAGCAGGCTATTCTGCAGCACAGTTCTCAGTGGTTTCTATAACAGCACCAACTATAGAAATTCTAATAATTTAATTAATAATGAAAGTAGCCATTCCTCTGATGGGAAATCTAAGCTACTAATGGAAGAGGAGCAAGCTTGTGGGGTAATCTTTGCTCACATCCCATAGATTTTTGCTTCACAGAGCCTTTCAATACCCGAGGAAGTTATGGAAACACAGCTATCCTTATTTCACAGATGACACTGTTGTTGTTTGATTTGTTTGTGAGAGACGCAGTCCATTTTTCTGTGGCCAGTTGATACTCAGTAACTGCTGGTTACCAGCAGATTGTGGCCTGCATGAGATCTCCTCATCTTGCACAATCTATTCTGGGCACCAAGTCTTTGACTTTCACAAATTTAGTGTACGTGGCCAGTGAGTTGTGCAATGCGTTGGATCTCCTGCATGTTGATGCGAGGCCATGGCTTTGCACATTTCCAACAAGGACGATGCCTACTGGAGGCATTACATTTACTGCCTAACAGAGAGGCCTGGTTTTGTGCTCCAGGTCTAAGAGCAACTGAGCTGTCACCACAGATCTGGACAGGGCAAACATTTATTTGCCAGATCTAGAATGGGAGAATGAAATCATAATCTGTTAAAGGAGTTTATCCAGGGACACACAGATGGCTGCATGCTTCGGCAGGAGGGTTGGACTAGATGACCCACAGAGGTCCCTTCCACCCCCTACCATTCTGTGATTCTGTGATTCAGAGCTGGCTGTAGATGGGCCTAGGTGAAATTCTGTCCTTTTCATTGAATTCACCTAAAGTCAGCTTTGTCATTTAAGGCCCCTCCTAACCTCATGACTACGTTTCATCAGACTCAGGCCCTCATATTTTAATTCATGTTCCAAATTTTTCATATCCAAAAACTTAACTATTGCCCCTGTAAGCAAAGAATTTTTGGTGTTGTGAAAGGGAAATAAACCTAATTTTGTACAGGTGAGAGATACTGCTAGGTATTCTCAATGTCAAGTGCAGTTGCACTCTCCTGAGATTTGTTCCAGGCACTGGCACTGTGCTGGTCTTGATGCTCAGTCTTTAGTATGATCTGTTGGCAAACACTAAGGAATTTATGGGGTACAGCATGCACGTGCTAGTATGACTTTTTGTGTATGACACTTGTGACCAGTGTGGAGACAGGACTTGGTGATGGCCATCACAACTACCAAGGGCCCAGCTATCATCAATCAATAAAAATTTTGTCTCCTGTCATTTCTAATTGATATGAATGTCGTCTGAAAGCTTTTTTATCATCTTTTCTCCCCAGATGACTTTTGTCTTCCTGCTGCACACTGAGCTTTGCTGACTCATACCAGCTAGTGTATCTAGAGTAAGTGAGGCTGGCTTGGACACCTGAGGCTGGGACCGCCCTTGTCTCCAACATCACAACTAAGATATTGCCCACCCCCATTTGGGCTTACTGATCACATCTGTCTTGCATGTTTCGTTATCCTTGCAGTCCTCCTTCGTCTGACATTTGGAGTTGCTGAGCTGTGACACGCATCTGTAACATTGCAAAGAAGAACCTGCAAAAGACCAAGAGGAGTTAAAAGACCAGTTTATCTGAAGCTTTTCAGGGAACCCAGCTTAGTGCTTGCACTGGGAAACAGGACCATTCCTGTGGGTCATCAAAGGAAGACAGCACCTCTGTTTTTGGTAAAACAATGTTTTTTCCATTTTCAGTGGAGAACAGTACACTCGCTTGAGGTGAGTCAAGCTTTGCAGGTGCTGAAGATGTTTCAGATGTAGTCAGTGCATTGAGCGAGCAAAAAGAGATCAGCTGGATAGCTGGTCTCATTGACTGGTCTCATCAGTCAATGGGAAGTGCTTCCCAAATGCTTCTTCCTCGGTTCCTGTCTGGAACAGGCTTTTTGTGATATTCCCATCTCCTGAGCTGGGATGAAGGGATTGAGTCCTCAGAAGGAGAGGCTGATATTGTTTGTCTGCCTCTGTAGACATTAGTGTTTTATCAGGTGGGCTTGTGAGCCTTACCTGAGGCATTGCCAGGGTTTGATGAAAAAGGGACTGCCCAGAGGGAAGAGAGCGTGAGGGAGGGATGGAGCAGTTTATTCAAGGTCTCTTCCAGCCCCTTGTCTCCATTTGACCAATTTGTGGCTTGTACTCTCCATCATCCCCTCTTAGAAAGCAAAGTGCAAACACAGCTTTTGCCTTCCTCTGAAACCCAGATCATCAAGTGTTTTCACCCCCTCATGGACATCCCACTCTACGGGGGATGCACGTCTGCGTTGTTAACATCTGCTGTGCTGTAATGCACATCAAGCAAAGGCAGGATAAGCATTGCAGCTTACAAGTGTCTAGCTCTGATGAAAAATAGTTCCCAGAGGAGTGAAAACATGGTGCAATTACTTGTTCCTATTACCTACTTGCGCCCTGTGGCATACTGGAACCTTGCAAGTGTGAGAGTTAATGTATATATACGTACTTTAAACCCTTGACCACTAGGCTTGTATCATGAATCCCTCAAGTCAACATCCTAATGCCTAAAATACTCTTTTAGGACACAGATAAACCTTATTTAGAAATTAGTGTTATTCACAGCAGGAACAAGTGATCTGAGGCACTTGGTCTCTCTGTCAAATCCATTCTGGTATAAATGACAGTCATAGAACCAAGGAGCCAAATCCCAGATTTTCTGTAGTGCTGCACTCTGCTTTCACTTTTATCTGACTTTTAATGCAATGAAAGTCAAATTTCAGAGCACTCTGGTGTAAGTTGGCAGAGGAGAAGACCTGGCCAGGACTGTACAAGACCCTTCTCAGCCTCAAGAGCTTAAGATTCCTCAGGCATCCTCTGCTGACTGCGAAACATTTCTGCTAAGATCTGCCTCTTCTGTTGTCTGGCAATAGGGAAAAGCTGGTTTAAAACCACTTTTTCCTAGTGAGGCTGGAAAAAACTGACCATGTCCAAATCCCACCCATCCAGTTTACAAAACAACATGCCATGGCATTCTTCCTTGTTCTGTCACATTAAAATTCCAACAGTTTTTACAGCGTCAGAGGCTACTTTTGAAACAAAGATTCAGAGAACAAATAGGAACAAAACTTTGCAGAAATTTTCCAATTTTGATAGCCTAGGAAGAAGAAAAATAATCCTCCCACCTCGCTTAAAAAAATCCTCCCCACACATAATTATATAATCTGGCTTAAATAACTTTGATTTCAATTAAATTCAGTTTTGTATAGGATTTCTCTTTCCTTGAAGCTGCTCTACCCAGCACTAGGATCACACCATCAGCAGGATGGGACTATACATTTTTTCCGTGCAGCACCAAGGACATCCCATCAAAAAGCAAATGTCTTCATATGACAACTGTGTCAGCATTTTTTCCCTCACTGCCAAACTCCATCACGAGACCTTTCTCCTAGCTGAACACCTGCTGGAGGGGACGCGGGGCAGACCCTGCATGCTGTCTTACCTGAGTCCAGGCACAGGACTGCTCCCAGGAAGAGGACGAGGAAAGCCTTCATTTTGGAATAGCCTGTCTTGTGCTGAATATGAGTTGTTTCCTTGTGGGACAGTTTATATACTGTGAGACGCAGCAATCAGGCATGCCCAGAAGGTTATCCTGTGAAGGCACCTGAGCAGGGCTGCTTGCTGGACCAAGGGAGGGGTTCTTTTGTGGTGCTGATATTTGTGTTAGGTGCCTCTCCTTTGGGTCTGCAGCTTTCAAAGCTACCAGCAACTCCTTTCCACCACTACGCCCCTGCCTTTCTTCCTACCCTTGGGCAAAGTGTTCATGTGAGTGGAAAAAACCCTAATTCTTCAGAACAAGGCTGGCCTTATGCATTTCCCCGAGTCAGTGAGGCTGTGATTGCACCCTGTGAGCAGGGCTCTCCACCCCCATTGCTATCTTGAGTGGAGCTATTGTGTTTAAGTCAAGGACAAAATGTTCTTTTAATAAACACCTTCTGCTATGTAGCTACAAGTGTGAGTGTCTCTGTGGCACTCATAGCATGTGGCAGCAAGGTATTTGGGCAAATTACTGTGCGTCGGCCTTTTCCAGGTGTCCAGGTGCTCATATGCCCTTATTCGTGTGTGTTGTCTAAAGTCTAGTAAAAACAAATGGCCAATTCAAGCTGTTTGTGTGTTGAAACCAAAGCGGCTTTGTGAAGACTTTGTTTGGTTTTGTATTTATCTGCCACCTCTGCACTGTGGCATGCTTTTCTTTGTCTGCCAGTCTCTCTGTCTAATATAGGTTGGGTACGGTTCTGACTCTTGAACTCACATCAGCGGTCTACTGTAAACAAATTCAGGCTTGTCAAAGAAATGCCACTTCTCATCACAGTTGAGGGTGAGTTCAGTCACATTCCAAACTGAAGAGTGAATGTTTGCTTTGGTGAGTTGATTGGAGACCTCTCCCATCCCTCACGTCCTTTGACCACTGCTCAGTACATGCCAGAGTAAAAGAAAACAGGCCTTTCTGCTAAATTCAATTTGCCATGGTATCTCACTTTATTTAGGGTGTTTCTTAAATCTCAGGAACTTAGCGCTTTGCAGTAACAGCTTTCAGGGACTTGCTCTCTAGCAGTTTAGCTCTTAGGAGACCAGGCACTTTCTCAAACAGAAGGGAAGTTGTGCTGGCGTGTTGGTGGATCATTGCTCTCGATCAGTGGCTGTGGGGTGAGTGATGGAAGGTCAGCCAGCCTAAGTCTGCTGAAGTTGATGGCACTGCACTGATTTGCATCAGTGGAGAATCTGGTGCAGAGGATGATTTTTTAAATGCTGTTTCCCCTGTGGGGATCTTAAGTGGTTCCCCTTGGACTCTTGAACTTCTGTTTAAAAAGAAAAAAACTCCCAACCCAACACCTTTCTGTGTCTGGTGACTTTTTCTTCACCATCTTTTTTTCAGACCACGTCATTTATAGCCAACTTCTATGGAACAGCTGAATAAAAAAGTGGCAATGTATTCTCTGAATCTGGTGTTCATTACACCAAGATATTTCAGGCTGTTTTTCTTTTTTAATCACTTTTGACTGTCCCTGCAGGATTTGGTTCCACATGTCAGGGAAGAATAGGGCCAAGAGGAAAGCAAAACCTGGTTCCCCCATTAAATCCACCCGGGCCTTGAGTTAAATATTTTTTCCGTTAATCAACTCATTGATAAGCAAGAGGGAGTGCTCTTTTCATCCTCAGCAGCCTGACTTGCTGCCAGTCAAACTCTCCTAGTACTGTTATTTCTTTTTATTTCTTTTTATTCCTTTTCTAACAGCAACAGACCAGGACTTCAGGTGCTGTAAAAAAGATGCGCAAAGGTAAGAGCCTGTCCATGCCCCAGTCCTGCTTGCCTGCAGCCTGAGGCTGTGTGAGAACCCAGTAATTCTTACATCCTTACATCAATTGTTGCTGCTCACTGTTTTTTAGAACACTGATGTGCAGTTCCTGCTTGACTCCTGAAGATGGCAAACATGTCCCATTATAACTATTATACATACATTAACATGTAGCTGTCCATAGGCTTGTGTGTGTACGGTATTTTATTTTCCTGGTGTTATAAAATCCCCAGTTCATCTAAATGCACTGAAAAAGACCATCTTTTTCCTTTGGGAATTTAAGGATCTTTAGAAATCAGTTGGGATTTGGGGGTTTTTTTAATGCTGTTTTTTGTTGCCACTGCAGATTCCTGGTAGATACAGGTCTGGAGCTTTCTGTTGAGAAGGGAGGAAAGAGGACTTGATTATTTGCTGCATCCTGGTTCACCTGCCCGGTGTCAGGGTGGGAAAGCGGTGCTGAATTGCAGTACAGAGCGTGGAGTCACGGATCACACTGAGGGGCTCGATAACAGTGGTAGGCACGAGCTGGAAATTTGAGGACAAGAAAGGCAACAGATGTAATGGTGCCTGGAACATCTGGACTGAGGTACCGAATGTCTCCAAAGGCAAAAGAAAGTTGCTCTGATTTCCTGGGCTGTGGCTAGGTGGTCTGAGGAGCCTGTAGGGAGGCCTGCAAGATGGCAGAGGTAATGCATGAAGACTTCCGTTGCAGACTGCCTTTTTTTCCTGAGGATGTCTTTCATGAGCAGAAGATTAAAAAAAAAACCCGGCACCCAGCAAAGAAGAAACTAAAATGAATTTCCACACACTCATCCAAGCTTTTGAATAAGTTGCAGTCCTTGAATGAGCCAGCTCATCAGAGGATCCTGCATAGTCTCCAGTCTCTGAGCTCAGAGGTGTAACACCTTCCATGATGCCTTAATTCAAGCCAGAATTAAGTACAAGAACAAGAGGAGCTGCTGTCGAAGACTGTCTGGCCCTGAAGGGATGTCACTGCCTTGTTTGCTCAGCATGAGCGTGGCTTGCAGCTCCTTTTCAGTACGTTCTGAAGAATGCAAGTGGAAGTTGCAACGGGTTGCAGAGGGAAACTTATTGACTTTTCCACTCCTGGAAGGTGTTTGGTGTGTTTGCAGTGGGTGAGCTGATGCTGTCTGCAGTGATGTCTGCAAATCTACTCTAGCTGTGGGGATGTGAGATGTACGATAAGCGATTTTAGTGGCCAATTTTAGGCATCAAAGTGGGAATTCTAACAGCTGCACAGCTGTGTTCCTGGGAACACAAGCAGCCTCAGGAACAATGAACTGTCCCAAGTCAGAATGGGTGGGGAATAAATGAGACCAAGTCACTAGATGGCTGTAAGACAAATCGTGCTGCAGAGTAGTCTGTAAGGAGGGAAGCATGGATCCTAAACGAGGCATGTGGTTGGATAGGCAGGAAGACAGAAGGATAGATGAGGGGACAGAAAGGTTTAAAAATGAGTAGATACACAAATGTCCACAGAGGTGGGTGGATGGATGGATAGCTAGCAGTCAGGAGGAGCAGGAGTAGACGGTCCTGTGCGCTCTTCTCTAACTATGTGTGTAATTACAGGCGGGCTTATGACAAAAGGCCACAGTACGTCCTCTGTCTCAGCCTAAAGTATTTCTCATCAACCTCTCAGCTGTTTTCCTCCCTCCTGTGCATATGTGTTGGATGAACAGGCATGATGCTGACTGCCAGCAGAGATAGGCTCCAGCTGCTACATCTGTAGATGCTTGACACTGTTTCATGTCATGGTCTAGCTCACACCACAAGGATTTAAATGTAGGTTTACTGTTAAAGCTAGGCTGCCTGAGACATCTTCCAGAGTCCAGCAAAGGAGACCAGAGCTGTTATTAAGAGCAGAACATTGAGCAAAGACAGAAAGGTCTTGGGGTCTTTGTCACTGAGCTGCTGAGGGATCTTTGGCATATGCCTTCCCTTCTTTGTTCCTCTTCTTCCTCTAATGGCAAATAAGACTCTTGACTCCTACATCACAGAGGAAGTGTTTTGAGGTCTGTGGACGAAGACAAGTACAACCAGCAAGCATTCTAAAGGTTTAATAAGCATGGAGACTGTTTGACTTTTGAGTATTTCTACAAGGGTCCAGGCACAGACCTAAATATCCAGCTATTCCCATTCGGGATTTCAAATTTCAGAAGCTAGCCTGATCAGCCTTGGAGAAAAATTTCACCTTCACTTCACACTCCTTGCTGACAGCCATGAAATCAATGCATTGCTGCAAATTAATCGCACCATGGTGCTAATCACGTCTGCAGAGCAAACTCTAGACGGACAAGATTCTGAGGGCTGTAGAGGTTGGAGATCCCCATACGGTGGTGCTGTTGTTACGTTGCTGGTGCACAGACCTCTCGGTGTGTGGGAGCAGCCCAGACTTGTTTGTTTAAAATCTCAGCAACTTCAGAGCATCAAAAATGCATCTGACATTTTTTTGTTATTTTGCTAATTGCTAAGCTCTTTTGGTTGTAAAAGACTGGGAGTGTGGGAACCCTGCCAGCTTCTGCTGGCGATGCCTCGCACATCTCTGAATTGTTTGCAGGAAAAAAGAAGTGCATTTTCCTGTGCCTACGCTTTGGAGTTGGGGTGAAATGTGGGGACAGTAGCCTGTGTTATGACCACAAAGCAGATCTGTACTTGGTTTTGCCATCGCAAAACACTTTCTTACCCCCTTGCATACAAGTGTCGCAGTTTCCTATGGACAGATGTAGCAAAAGGTAGTTTGAAACACAGGCGGAAAACATAACTTTGCTGAGATCACACAACGGGGCTACATCAGATCTCAGACCAGGACCCTCAAGCACCCTAGCTGCTTCCTAGACTGTGTCCTTTTGCATCCATCAGTAAAATTATTCAATTGTGCTGGCCCCTGTAGGAAACCACAGAATATCAATGGGGAAGAACCTGAAATTTCCAGTCCAGCTGCTGCAGGTAGAAAAGGCTAGACCTGATGACTAGACACACCAAGCCCCTTATAGGGCCAGTATAGACAATTGCTCTTCATGTGGCAGTGGGTGCATTCAATGTATGGCCACTAGTGGCCCCGCCTTTGCCCTCCTTGCTCTCATTTTGGGACCAGTACTCGTGGTCAGTACTGCTTACCCAACTTTAGCACAGTTTAGGAAAGAGACTTCACGGTCTTACATGTGGGGAAAGTATTT